TTAGGTTTCTTTGCAGTAAAGATTTCCAATATTTACAATGCCTAGACAAACCCTTAAGAAAAGGGTTTTTCCACAGTGAATCACGAACTGTGTATTTTGGGAAACAGCACTTCAAGGACAGATGTAACACACTAAGAAATTATGTGGGAAGACAAAAATCATTGATGTTTTCAGCTGCTGTGATACAGAGTGCTTCCAAAAAGTATGGCAAAACCTACCAAGGAGCTCCTGCATCCTCTGTTCCAGAACAAAAGTAAATGCTATTAGTGATATTTCTACATCTACTTAGTCAAGCAGTTATTTCAAATATTTGATAGCGATTTCCAGGAGTCTGTTAGATCTGAGATACATGCAAAGGGGATGGAAGAAGCTAAGAACTAGGATTACCTAAGAGAGAATTTTAGCAATAAGCCTTAGCCTTAGATTTTTAATAGACATTGCTAACTACATTTATTATTTCTTCCCACCAGAAAAACCAGAGAAGTTTACCTTGTAATTAGACAACATTGATAAGATTCTTGAAGCTATTACTAATTATAACAACTGGAAGAAAATTATGTGGATAATGACACAGATTCCTTCCTTTCTTCTGTTCATTTTGTTTCCTTTCCCTGCACCTTACACATACACTCAGAAGTCTCAGCTTTGGCCTCTTTCCTCAGGCCCTACTTTCCTGCCCGGAGAGGAAAGAGACAAGCTACCCGCTCCCCTCCAGCTCCATGCTACGTGGGCGTGGAACACCTCTCCTATGAAGACAGGCTGAGAGAGTTGGGGTTGTTCAGCCTGGAGAAGAGAAGGCTCTGGGGAGACCTTATAGCGGCCTTCCAGTACCTAAAGGAGGCCTACAGGAAGGCTGGGGAGGGACTTTTGACAAGGACTTGTAGTGACAGGATGAGGGGGAATGGCTTCAAACTGGAAGAGGGGAGATTTAGATTAGATATTAGGAAGAAATTTTTCACTCTGAGGCGTGGTGAGACACTGCACCAGGTTTCCCAGAGAAGTTGTGGCTGCGGCATCCCTGGAGATGTTAAAGGCCAGGCTGGATGGGGCTTCGAGCAACCTGGTCTAGTGGGAGATGCCCCTGCCCATGGCAGGGGGGTTGGAACTAGATGATCTTTCAGGTCCCTTCTAACCTAAATCATTCTATGATTCTATGATTTTACACTGCTAGGCAGCTGCACACAAAGCCTGGGCAGGCTTGTAGCCTTAGTCCCCATGCTCTACAGTCACCTTTATAAGGCCATCACTGAGGAGTGATCCATACCCCGATTCCAAGTACCCCCTCTTCCAAGAATAATTAAATATATGCTAAATTCAACATAGGACACGTCAATCACTTTTGGTATTTCAAGAAATCCATTCCTCTTTCATAGTCAATTGATGAATCCTGAAATGACGGCTGTGACAATAGCTGTCAGTTTTAAAGTTCTTTTGATGTAAAATGCATTGAACCCCCCCCAGAATTAAAAAAAAAAAAAAAAGGTCTGCCACAAGACTGTGCTCTCACAGACGAGCACAGAAACAAAAGCTTGTTAGCTTCTATTTTCCTGACCAACTCTAACTAAGGCATAAATCATTTTTATTTTTAAATGAGGTGTATGGTTTATAGTCAATGCACAAAACTTTACTACATCCTTTGAATGCTCAATTTTCAGAATTGATTTTCTTCTTCAATTCCTCGGCTTTACTTTGCGCACTTCTGCTCCCCCAGTCCCTTCCCTTCCGCTTTTAATTGAAATGCAATTTTGTCACCAGGTTCAACCACAACTTTACTTGACAGGTCTACAGAAGCAGATCCAGCACAAGCCAGGAGCCAGCGTGAGGGGTGCTGCAAGTTCTGTGAACATGAGCAGTTAGTAAAACATGTAAGAAACTAAGGATATAAAGCCAGACAGGAGTACAAAAGAACTGAACAAATCCCATTGTATTGAAACTCTACACACCAGAAGATGGATGGATAGCTGTCAAGCTTCTCATAGGTAGACAAAAAGGCATAGTTTTGCAGAAAGCATTACAATAACAAACTAGATGTTTACAGCAGTGGAAGGCAATACGGGTGAAAAGTAAAAGTGTTCATTTGCAGGTACCTATCTAGCAATTAACTTTGGCTAATTCCAATTTTTGTCAAGAGAAGCAGACAACATGCTAGCTGATAGCACTCAAGAGATGATCAACAGGCACAATCTACAGAAGTCCTTAAGAGTCGCTCCCATTTTACGGAAGATGCAAAGAGATCAGAGCAGTGGAAGGCAACAAAGGGAAGGGTGATACAATTCAAGTAACAGACTACCAAAATTACCCATACAGATTCTGGGTAAAAGCAGGGCAATATTGCACTTTACAGCCAGAAATAAGACTTCAGCAAAGCGATCAAAATATACAAGTCAGAAGAGGACGGCCAGAGGGTAAGTTACATTACCGTCCTGTTCGAGCACTTTGGAGATAGTACACAGACCATACCATCAAGACCTAGGCAAAAGCCCAGGAATGAAAGCTTGGGGGCAAAGAGGGAGTTTCCCATTTCTAACGTATGTTAGAAGGATGAGTTATCCACTGAACTACCTAAGCTACCCACATGTATTCTGCATACTCTCCCGTTCTTTTCATTCACATCAAAACTACTGTAATTTTCTTAGTTCCACATTTCCTAGAAGCAAATGCGTTCTTCCACACTTTATCACATTACAATCAAAGCTTTTTACATACAGCTTAGTCCTTTCACACTGCAACCAGGGTTGTTCTGGCCCTTTTTCCAACAGGTGGAGGAATACAGAAAGTCAAAACATTAGCTCTAGCAATCACAGATTAAATTCAGGTAAACTGCTGCAAAGCAAATTCTGGCAATAGAAAGAAATGCCTGTCCTTGACCAAGCCAAAAGCAGCCAAAAAAGTGGGAAACTCACAGAAAGAATGCACCAGACAACTGCTGCTGGGCTGAAATGAACAGTCAAGGGTAGACAGTAGTCTTGCTTCTAACTGTATCAGGTACTCAGTAATGTGTTTCTTCTTTTTCTTTCCCTCATACTTTAGTTTTACCACAGGAAATCTACACACTAAACAAATGACAGGTTTGCAGCATTTAATCTTACTCACTTCAATCAATCCATCTGAGGATGACCATATCTAAGCTGACGATCACCCAAAAAGAAAGTTCCTCTCCTCTCTCACCCCATTTTCTAGGTTCTTGGCTCACAGCTGCAAGCTCTTCCCTTTCCCTAACCTCAAGCACAGCTTTGGGACTTGGCTAGACTTCATCATGATGAAGTTCAATCTACTAACTGGATGGCAAACTAATCCAACAATACCAGAATATTTTCCTTTCCAGGTTAGTGATTGGAAGTGTCTTAGCCATTACTGGTACTGCAAATACCTGAACAAAGATAGTGGAGGAATCACATAGCAAAGAGCTGAGAAAAGCAAGGCTTTTCATTTCAATGATCGTGGGCTGTTTTCACAGGACTTACTCTCTCATAGGATAACTGAACTGAAAAAGCAGAATCCCAGTCACTCCCACCTTCCTCCCAGTGACTTACTGCTCCCTGGTCAGTACCAGCTCTACTTGTCACGAGACTGGCTTCATGATCCAGCAGAACTCACTGCAGCAGCAGAACACCCTGCTCTGTCTTGCAGGGCTTCCCTACCACTTTGATGAACCTGAGCTGCAGTTTCATTTCAGCAGCACGTGGAGCCATCGAACTTGTAAATCTACTTTAAGCTTCACAGTTTGTAGTCACCAACTATTTCAGACTTACCACACTCTTTACACTATCGTAATCATTTCCTAGTACACGTTTACGACTGTAAATGCCCTCTTCCCTCCCAACGAACTACAGAATGACCTATAAGCTTCCAGCACAAGGATCTCAGTTTCAATTTAGATACAAGCAAGTGGAAAATGGCTATAATGAACTCAGGATTTTGCTACCTGAAATACACACTTAGACCAGATTAAGTGCATTATTATTGCAAATTGATATACAATCTAATGAAACCAATATACATGTGGCAATATTAAATTCAGATATATGCAATGAACCAGTTCAAGGGAAAGCAGAGGTGTGTTTATATACCTTCGAGTGGTTAAAATAGTGATTAGCACTCATTCAATACTCCCATTTCACATTAACAATAAGTAAAGCAACTATAGAGGGCCTCACTTGACCTTAACTGTTAAGGACGTTATGTCAACATTTGTATAATCAAGCTAGTGCCCTGCTCTGACATATTAAGATAGAAGCTACAGGTACCTCAAATAATGAGATCTTTATTTTTAATTACCCAGCGCCTTTAGGCAGCAATTACAATCAAAAAGACTACAAAAGAAATCTAGTTGACCTCCAGATTGATACTTTAGAGAACCAAGAGAAAGGCAGGGTTTGGAGCAAGTGATACCCATTCAATTCCTAATAGATGCAACTTATCCATGCAGTCCTTTTTTATGCTCTTAATGGTCCTATGTCAATGCAACTTCATGAATCCAGAGTGATGAAAGAATACAGAAATTTAATTTGTAGTTAGTTTACAAATTAAACACAGCTTAAAAATATTACTCCACCCTACAATTATAAGTATTACTTTAAGAAGGTCCCGTCTACTATAGCACTTTTTTGGATGCTACATGATTATTTTTCAAAGAGAAAAAAAAGAAGTGAACTGCTTTAATGTCAATGTTAGTCTTGTAAGATATTTTCACATGTATGTATATATATTTGCTTTTAACAACACAGAATGCCTTTTTCTATTATACACACACAATCTTACACTCCCCCCCCCCAACGTAAAGGATGCTTTATATTTCAATTGCACCAACATTTCTATTAGACCATGCCACTGATCTTCTCCTACTGATGCATATCAGGATTCCCATATAGTTCCTTTCTGTCTCCAGGGAAACAGTTAAATTTCTAATACACAAGGAGTAGTTTTAACATAAAATTCTTCATATGAGATTAAGACAACACACCATTAATCTAACCATATTCATTTGAATGTGAACTTACCTCCAAATATATCGATGGTGGGTTATGTTCTCCTCCAAATTTGTCTAGCAGTGCCTCTATATGTTCTTGCGTTAATTTAATCATCTGTTTGATATTCCACACCTAAAACAGAAAATTAAAAATTTTTATAATCAAAAGGAACCTGGAGAATCTGTCCAAAACCAAACAAATTTCACTTTCTTGATATTTAATAACAGATGTCCATAATACAAGTATTTCATTTATCAGTAAAAGAGTGCAAAAAGCTATCCCATACATCCACTGTAAGGCACAGCTTGCTTCTGAGATAAACCGAGAAAAATCAAATTTGGTTGTAAAATTCAGGAACCATTGAATGAACAACATTTAAGAACGGTTTAGTTTTTATGTTTATCAAAACATATTAAGCATTTCCTTGCAAGACTTTGCAACTTGATTTCTACAGTACTACAAAGCTTAGTGAAGGAGTTATTCTATCAAACCTTAAGTAATCTGTGTAAACAACACTCACAAAACCTAGACCTAGTCTTCCATTTGCGTGGTGCTTCCTGATGTTCAGAGGGAACCTCCTGTGTTTCAGTTTGTGCCCATTGCCTCTGGTCCTGTCATGAGGAACCACCAAGAACAGCCTGGCTCCATCTTCCTTTCACTGACCCTTAATCATCTTTGTGGCCCTTCACTGGACTGTCTCCACTATGGCCATGTCTCTCTTTCACTGGGGAGCCCAGAACTGGACACAGCACTCCAGGTGTGGCCTCATGAGTGCAGAGTAGAATGAACCCCGTGTCAGATGAGTTTCCAAATACTTTTGTTGAAGATTGATAATGAATAACTTCCTTGCTCATATGTTATTTTCTATTTTGCGCCATAACCACAACCTGCTTCTCTTGTCTTTTACAGTAAAGATAATAGAATAAAAAATAGAACTGAGCAACAGCAGTATGCACAATGGAAATGTGTTATTTAGGAGACGTTGACAAGCGAAACAAACAGCCTCTAATGAGGGCAGAAATCTTCCTGCTAAGTTAATATCATGACAAGAGCAAAAATTGACTCATGAAGAAAATAAAACATTTTGAAACTTACTGCCAGCTGCCAGGCTATGGCAAAAAATGTCTTCACCTGAAGAAGCTGAACTGAAGTCTAGGGGAAGACGACATTGCTCAGAGGAGCTGAAAACAGTGCCCTGAACTACCTACTATACATTCGTGCACTAAACCAAGAGCCTTTCCACAAGTGGATCTTACAGGCAAACTTAATATGGATTTCTATCATCTTCCAAAGACTATTCACACAAAGTACACTGAAGGCAGAAGGAAATTTATCAAAGTCAACCATAGCAACAAATCATTACTTGTTGCTCACAGAAATGGAAAACCTATTTCATGTGCCATATTCATCAAAAGTCTTCTGACAAGCTGAAAAAACCTTCACAAATCTAGTATTGACTAGCATATTCTATCCCTAATCAAGGAGGCGCAAGAACACATATGCCATGGCAAATTTCCAAGCTTCACAATTTCCCTTGAAGTGGCAAATTCTACTTATTTTTACTTACAGAAAATTCATCTTCTGGCTTCCCATATTAGCGAATATACTATGCACAGTTTTTTGTGGTCCAGAGCATCCCTTAACTAAATAGCTCCTTGAGAATCAACCCCTGTGCAAGTACATTGCATTCTACTACACAGGATCTATGGCTACCTCAATTCAATTGAAGCAACTCAAGCCTTTTCCTAACTGGAATTCGGAACTAGCGCTCTGTGCAAGTGACCTCATGCGACTCAAAAATGTCTGCTTCTACACACCACAGTACCCACAGCTTTCACCTCACAAAAAAACCCCACCATACTCGTTGCACTTACGCAGCCAGCAGAGCCAGCAACTTCAGCCTGTCTTTTCTCCTCTCAAACTTGCTTGTTCAGATAAGTTATCTCAGCTAAATTCGCACCATGTGCACCGGCCCAGCCTTACAGACTTGGAACCAAGACACATTCCCATCATCTCTGTGGAAAAAACCTGAAACACTAGGTTCTTAAGAATTAAATCTCTTGTGAGTGCTACTGAACTCAAACATATGGGCTTCTTTCAACTGTCTAAATAAAACCTAAGTGTGCAAAAATTGACTAGGATTTTATTAAGTGTCTCACTCCCCATAAGCACGTGCATCCCAGGACAACAGCAAAGAACTACCTAACAACAGAGACAGCAAAAACATGAAATCTAGAATCCTTTTAGCAATCAGTTCTTGATCAAAAAGCTTGTTCCTAGACAACAGGAAAAAAAATGTTTTTCAAGCTAAACACACGCACAAATACCATTCTTTCCTCGAGATCTCACAGTAATCCCTTTATCCACACTTTATTCACACTTTCTTCAGAAATAAAAGAAAACTGCAGAAGCTTACTGGTCATTAAGAAAGAACAGACATATTTTTTGTTACTCGTATGAGCACTCCACTACGCTTATGAAACTCCACACCTATAGGAAACCATAAAACCACAACTGCCAAGTATCTTGCAGAAATCCAAAAAATCAATGCCAGCCTAAGAGACAGTTGCTAGAAAGCCTAATGTATTCTGAAGTAAATCTGCAGTACACCTAGTGCTGTCCACATGCAAGTCCAGTCCCTTCCCACAGGAAGCAGCATGGTTATTTGAGACACATTGTTTCTTTGTAATTCCACGAAAAACTAATGAATCCTTTACAGCTTGGATAACCTTATCATTTTTCAAAAAAAAAAAGCCTTAAATAAATTTTTCTGTCTTATCTGGTAGCATTAGATTAAGGTTATTCTCTATCACAAGAGATTAGATTTGATTCTCCTTTTAGTGCTGCTGACACAAGGAAGCTGACGCAGGCTAACATGGACACAGGCAGCCAGAAGACTGGAAATATTCCAGATATACTGGAATATATCAACTTGTATCTGCCTATTGTGGATAATTGTGCATTAATTTTGCAAGGAAGCACTCCCTTGCAATATAATAAAGATGATGACCTATATCAAGCCAGAGGCAAGTTAGATACAGTAGAAGCCTAAATTCATTCTACTCAGGGAAGACTATGGCTCCACAAATGCAAGAGGCTATAAGCCACAAAGTTTTTTTCGCGTCATTTGCTGCTTGTATACAGTGCCTGAGACAGGACAAAACAAACTATCTTTTATACTTTTTGCACCTGGCTACAATACTCAAATCTTGCAGCACATCCCAACTCTAAGCTCTACGATTCATATTTGGTAGATGACATCTGAGAGTTCAAATCTATTCCGTAAAGAAAAAAAGCCATTATTTGTACAGGCACAGTATGTCCTGCATTTGGATTACCACGCTTGGTGATGGAAATACTTTGATAGAATGAACTAAGTAATTAAAAAAAAAAAATAAATTAAGCATTTGATTTGGAAACTGTTTTATAGGGAGGACAAAATCATCAATACCTATCCAATACTATTCTAATCAGCCCCTTCAGGCTTCTTTCTTACAGAATCAATTCAATTGTTTGGTCCACTGAGCTAGGATCCACTTTGTCAGAAAATGCTTTAGAAAGCTGTCATGTATGAGATCGTTCTTAGCTGGGCTAATGTTTTAACTAACTTGGAAGTCAAGTGTTAGAGTGAAAGAGAGGCAAGAGAATATATTAATGGGGTTAATAATTCAGCACCTCAGCATTTGCATGTCAAGATATAGAGTTTGCATTTTCCCAGTTTCCTCGCAGAAAATCACTGTTACCTCTTCCTCACATTTTGGCATCTTTTTCTGAGCTACTCCCCCCCTTCCCCCCATCAACCTCGAATGGTGCTAGTCCTCCTCTTGCCTCTTACAAAGCCTGCTTTTCATTTTCTGCAGTCATTAGCTGGAACATGCACACACAGGGGGAAGGATAGTCCTTTCCTTCCTCTTATACATCAGCCTGTAGCTCTTCTCCATCTCTCAGTGGAAGCTTCTCTCAACTCACACATCCACTGTGTTAACTTTTGCTTTTTTCCTATTCTCTACTGGCTCCTCATGCTTACCAGATTTTCAACAGGGTAGTTCAACTATTTATTAAACAAGTATGAAAAAGAATAACAGCTGAGAAACTTTACTGAATTGAAAACCAGCTTGCAATGGGTTTCACGTAAGAGTTTACGCAAGTGACATGAATGTCAACATGGAGGCTGCATTTCCTAGTTTATCTCCCCCAGCTTTTTATTAGTGTTGGTGAATCATTTTTATCACAGCTCCTTTACAGTATCTGACATACAAACTTCAACAGTGTATTTTTGTTGTTGGCTAGCTAGACAGTTCAGAATGAGTCCAGTAAAATTTACAATCACAGATTAGTAAATAAGTTACAGACAACAGTATCTACAGAAGTTACTGTAGCAAAGAGAAAAATGATCTGGTATCTCTTTTTCCACAAGAGTCTATGAATGTATCTTTCTAGACTGATGAAGAACAGCGTTGGTGAAGATGTATAATAGTAGGTTCAAGAACGAAAATCATCAGGAAGAGGTACCTTTTTTATACCATCCTGTCTGATGACTAGGATCATAACTAGGGCAGCTAATACAGTAATGTGATCAGCAGGCATCTGCTGTAAGCACAGCAGTTAGTAAAATATTAAAAAGGCTTCAAGATGAAAACTTTTTTTCCATTGAACAGGTAACATTTTTTAGGAAGGAAAGGTGAATTCTTAACCCCTATAACTAGCAACCCAGGTTTCCAACTGCGCCCATTGTGACACTGTTCCCATTCGGAAAAAAAAACAACAAAACAAAACCCACCAAAACCAAACACCCAACAACTCCTTCCCCACCCCCCAAAAAAATCCCTAGGAAACATCTGATGCAGTTAACGCTCAAGTACAAGTATCATCTTTGAGCAGTTAGCAGCAGAAATTGTATTGAAAAGAAAAAAATAATCAGTGGCAGACTAACTCTGTGACTCTAAGACAAATATGTTCAATAAAAAACTTGCTTTCTGTATCAGAGGACTTCCACCACCCAAAATCCTGGTATTACTAACACTCAGTTTTCAGTTAATATTCTTGCGACTCTCATTTATTTGCAAACAATCAGTTGCAACTGAGAGTAATTCATCTATGTCTTTTCTTCTGTTTAATTCTAAACACA